AGCCAGAAACCCCAAGTGCCCAAAACAAATCTCTAGTGCCGCCCTAGACCGGAAATCCCTTACCAAAGGACCTGCTACTTAGGTACTTCGGTTTCGGATAGTAGTTATGTAGGTTACTTTTTGGGAGAGTATCTGATTATTAGGTCCTTGGACCCTAGACCCTAAACCCTAAGCCTAAACAGAGCCGAAGTTCTCATCGAGATCTTTTTGGCACCAGGCAACGATTCTGTGAGCCAGGAAGCCGCCCCAGATGACGTGGAGGTGGGTTTCTCCCTTGTGGTTTTGAGGTCCCAGGGGTCAGGGTGGGTAGGTCTAGGGTTAAGGGTTTAGGGTTTAGGGTTTAGGGGGTTTACAGTTTAGTGTTATAAACCCTAAACCCTAAACCCGAATCTCTAAAGCCCTTTAGGTCCAGGGCTCAGTGCTTCGAGCCCTTTGGCCTTGGGGTTAAGGTTCCGAGAGCTACACTGGACTCCAAAAGTTGAAAGATAACTTTAAATTGAGGATGACTGTGCCTGACTCCCTATCAGCTGTGCCTGCTGAGTTCTCTTTAGGCGCCATTTGCATCTTTATACTGTGGTATGGCATCAACCGACCGGGTTGTTGAGAATCGGATTTTCTTACCGGGTCCTTGAGCTTATGGCCTTGAGCGCCCAGGACCAAACTGTCGCGCTTTCTTTACAGGTTTCAGGGATCAGGGTTTTAGGGTTCAGGCGACAGTACACATGTCAGTAGCAGTGGGGACAGTAGCAGAAGTCGCCATAGACGCAGTCGTAGTCGTAGTCGTCGTCGTTGTGGCAGACGTAGCCGCCGTCGCCGTGGTCGTCGTAGTACTAAAATGGTAGGCCATCCAGTCTGAGACCCACACTCCGAAATCGCGACAGCGTGGCTCAAACGATGGACCGGCCGAGCCCCCGACGCTCTTCTTGGACGAAGACGTGCCCCGACCCTCACTCGTTTATTCAGGTTGTAGTGGAGGAGCAGGGCTTTTGGGGCTAATATAGGGGCCTGCATTATTACCCATACTATTTTTGGGGTTCCTTCTAATAATTTTAGTATCATGGGCCCCGCCCAAAACCCTATTCTACTTATTACGGGCCCTGATATAGAACCCTATCATAGATCCCTTATAGAACTCTTTAAGGATCCCTTAAAAGGAACTCTATTTTAATCATTAAGGCCCCTACATTATGGGTTGGAGTGGTGTTGGAGGTAAGCTTTCTTATTTCGGCACTCAGGAGCCTAGGGTTTGGCGGTCAGCTAAGGCTTAGGGTTTAGGGTGTAAAGGTTTAGGGTTTAGGAACCCTAAACACTAAACCCTAAACCCTAAACCCTGGGTTTAAGCTTAGGAGCGCCAAATCGTGGACCTTCATGTCTGCCCCCAACCTTACCAAGGGCCGAAGTTTGCTATCCAAGAGCTGATCGCCATGAGCGCAGACTTGGTGTCGAAGTCGCTCACTGCCGGTGTGGTCGACCCTACAGACGTGCCAGCATTGGACGCGGTGAGCCCGGGGATGGCCTCGACGGTGAGCAACGTGGCAGCATCGATGAAGGCCGGCGGCATCACTGTCGGCAGGGTGAGGGACCACCGTGACATCCGGGCCCTCCGCAACGGGAATCGGGTGTGAGGCGGCCCAGCGCCCGGCACCGACCGAAAGTCGAGGAGCTCGTCGCGCCTCGCACTGCATTTTTCCGACGGCTGCCCTGTCAAGCGGCCGGTTGAGCGTTCCAGCGTCGTCAGGGCAAGGACAGAGCATTTCGGACGGCGCTGCGTTCCTTTCAATAGTCTATCTGTCGCAACCCCTAAACCCTAAGCCCCTAAACCCCTAAACCCCTAAACCCAAACCCCTAAACCCCTAAACCCCAAACCCTAAACCCTAAATCCTAAAGCCCCTAACCCCTAAACCCTAAACCCTAACGCCTACACCCCGAAAGCCCTAAACCCCTAAACCCTAAACCCCTAAACCCCTAAACCCCTAAACCCCTAAACCCTAAAGCCCCTAACCCCTAACCCCTAAGCCCCTAAAGCCCTAAACCCCTACCCCTAAACCCCTAAACCCCTAAACCCTAAACCCCTAAACCCTAAACCCCTAAACCCTAAACCATAACCCCTAAGCCCCTAAAGCCCTAAACCCCCAGACCCTTCAACCCCAAACCCAAACCCCTGAACCCCTAAACCCCTAAACCCAATCCCCTAAACCCCTAGACCCTAAAGCCCTAAGCCCCGAAGCCCCTAAAGCCCTAAAGCCCTAAACCCTTCAACCCCAAACCATG